CTTTCCTTGATAATTTCTTGAGAGATGATGTCTAGGGCTCTTTTTTTGATCATGGCTTTCAGGTAATCCAGTAATTTCTAGATCATCTTTCCTGGATCTGTTTTCCAGGTTAGTTGTTTTTTCACTGATATGTTTCATATCATCTTCTATGTTTTTCATTCTTTTGGTTTTGTTTTATTGTTTTTTGATTTCTTGTAAAGTCATTAGCTTCCATTTGCTGCATTCTCATTTTAAAGGAATTATTTTCTTCAAAGAGCTTTTAGACCTTCTTTTCCATTTGGCCAATTCTGCTTTTTAAGGCATTCTCCTCCTCAAAAAAAAAAAAAAAAAGAGCCGGGACAGCACCTTTCAAGAAATTATCCAGGAAAACTGCCCTGAGGTCCTAGATCCAGAGGGTAAAATAGTCATTGAAATAATCCACTGATCACCTCCTGAAAGAGACCCCAAAAGGCAAAATTCAAGGAATATCATAGTCAAATTCCAGAATTATCAGATCAAGGAGAAAATACTACAAGCATCCAGAAGGAAACAATTTAAATATCATGGAACCATAGTCAGGATTATGCAGGACTTAGCAGCTTCCACATTTTCCATGTTGATCCCTCCTTGTTCCAATAAACCTAGAAGAAAAGAAACAGAAAGAGCTGAGCCTTCAAAAATATAATCAAGAATCGAGAGTATTAGAGATATAACTTACCCTACAGGAAGATAGAAGAGGAAGGGGATAAAAGGGGGGGGCGGGGATAGAAGGGAGGGCAGATGGAGGAAGGGATAATCAGAATGCACACCATCATGGGGTGGAGGGAAGGGAGAGATAGGGAGAAAATTTGGAACTCAAAATCTTGTGGAAGTGAATGATGAAAACTAAAGACTTGCATGAACTGATGCTGAGTGAAGTGAACAGAACTAAGAGAACATTGTACAGAGTAATAGCGACATTGTGTAATGACCAGCTTTGTCAGACTTAGCTTTTCTGAGGAATGCAATGATCTAAGACCATTCCAAAAGACTTTTGATAGAAAATGCCATCCACATCCAGAGAAAGAACTATGGAGTCTGAATACAAATTGAAGCATACTGTTTTCTCTTTCTTTTGTTGTTTTTTGCTTTTTCTTTCTCATGGTTTTTCCCATGTATTTTGATTCTCCTTTCACAACATGGAAATATGTTTAATATGATCATATATTATAGCCTATATCAGATTGCAGTTGAGAAGGGGGAGGGAGGGGGGAATTTAAAATTCAAAATCTTATAAAAGCAATTGTTGAAAACAAAAAATAAATATTTTTTTAAAAGAAGACACAGCTCAGACACTACCTTCTACATAAGATCTCTTCTGATTCCTCCCAAGTGCTAATGCCCTCCATCCTTACCTTGTACTGATCTACTTTGCGTTGATTTGTAGTTATTCTCTTGGCATTTATTCTGGAAGTACTTGTGTGTGTGCTTCATAACTTTTACATTAGAATGTAAGCTCATTGAGAGTATGGTTGCTTCATTCCTTGTATTTGTATGGCTGGCATCTGGTACAATATCTGGCACATAGAAGGCTTGATAAATACCTGTTGATTTATTGATTGTATGCAGCCTTTTGCAGTTTTAGTTTTTTCATTTTCTTCAAATAGATAGTTATAGTGTCCCCTCTAAATCTCTTTTCCATACTTGGTTATTTCTTGCTCTTGTATGATATAAACTCAGTTCTCTTCACCATGCTAGATGTCCTGTTCTGGACATTATCCAAGTTATTAGCTTCCTCAAATACGGTGGCTGATCCAGAATGCAATACTCTAAATACAACTAGATGAGAGCAGCATACAATGGAGTTATTGCCTTCTTATTCCTGGGTACTGATTCTCTGAATGCAGCTTATGTTTTTTTGGCTGCCCTTTTGCACTGTTGACTCATATTGAGTTTGGAGTCTATTCAGTGTTCAATTATAGGATTTAGCAATAGCTAGCATTATCTAGCACATGAAGGTTTCTAAAATTCTTTACAAATGTTAACTCATTTTTTCCTCACAACAACCTTGGGAAGTAGATTTCCATATCACTTGAAGGTTTGCAAAATACTTTAAAAATATCGTTTCATCTTTATCCTCACAACAACCCTGTTATTATCTCCCTTTTGCATGATTCCCATTTTACAGAAGAGGATATAAGGCATATGGAAGTTAAGTGACTTGGTCAAGCTCACACAGCTATTAAGTGTCTGAGGCTAGATTTGAATTCAGGTCTTCCTGGCTCCAGGTTCAACACTTTATCCAGTGCAACACCTACCTGCCAAAACTCAAAGTGACTCAACATCATCCCTCAAATACGATTTAGATCCTTATTCTGGGCAAGGCTCTATACTATGTACTCAGAATACAAACCAAAAACAAAACAGCGTCTGCCTGGCCTCAAAGAATTTACATTCCACTGGGAGGACACATCTGTACACTGAGAAGTATGCATAGTACAATTTAAGGAGTGATGTAACACTAAGGACTTTGTGGTGACCAGACAAACTTCACAAAGGAAGTGTAGTAAGATTGGAAAGGAGGAAACAATGAAAGATCAATGGTCACAGGACACTATTATCACCACAAGGAAGTGGTAATAAGGGCCTGACCCAGAGTAGTGGATGTTGTGGCTATATAAGTAGAAAAAAATGGGACAGATGTGGGAGATAGTGGAACCTTAGAGATGACCTTGTCATATCATCTCATTCTACAGTGATGCTTTAGAGGCACCTACTTAGAAGTCATCTAGGTAAACAGCCTTAGTTTACATGGGAGGGAACTGAGTTATTGGGTTAAGTGGTTTGCCAAGATAGGCTAGCCAGGGCCTGGATTCCAACCTAGGTGCTCTATCCCCAAATCATCCATCATATTATATTGACCTCTATCTTAGGCAGGGTTTAGAGAACATGGTACATAAGAAACCATATTTTTGAGATGCTTTTAGCTTAATCCTGGTTATGAATAGAAGATAGCTCTCCATGATACCACAGACTTTAAATCTATCTGTGATGTCCTTGAGGACTGGCCAATCATGCTGCCACCTTTCAGGGTTTTATAAATGAGGAGTGTTCTGGGCTGGGCCTGACTCAGAACAGTATCCTGGTAGTTTAGGTTTAAGATTGGAACAAAAGGAGTCATTCATAATTTATTCAACAATTTATGAGAAAAAACTTATCTACATACTATATATATATATATACTATATATATATATATACTATATAAATATGTATATATACATACATAGGTATATACCTATATGTGTATATCTGTGTGAATATATGTAATTTATATACTTATACATATATTTAGACATACACATATATCTACATGCATATACATATATATATACATCCATATATGTATGTGTGTGTGTGTGTATATACATATATATACACACACACACACACATACACACATCCCTTCTTTCATTTGGGAGTCAAGCTAGTTTTTTCTAAAAAGGTACTGAGACAATTCTTGAGACTGGGTTGTCTCAGGGGAATAAAGACTCAATCAGCTGAAATCACTGTCATTGCCCTGAGTCCAAAGCATCCACAAGGAACTCCATAGATGCTCGGATGCTTGGCTGATGATGAGTCTTCCTGACAGCAGGCCCAGAACTCTATCCATTGAAGGCCACCAAGCTGCCCCCTCAGGAATAGCTCTAGGGCAGCCCTAATTCAGGCTCAGGAAGATAATAATGGCAAACCTTGGCAGCCTATTATTTCAGGTATTCCCCAAGGACAGATCTAACTCTGCCTCCTGGGCTGGGAGGCTCTAACAGGGGCTCTGGAATTCTAGCAGTAGGTACCAAATACCCCCCCCCCGAGAGTCATTACATGTGATCAAGACAGAATGACCAGGACCTAGGAAGCTCAGATCTTAACAAAACCAGTTTTTAGGTTTGACTTGAAGTGTGGTGGATGCTTTGTCTCACAGCTCAGACCCCTAAGACCCTGACAGCGCTAAGACAGAAGTTTTGCTTTCCCCAACAGTGTATGCATTCCTGTCAGAGCGCAGATCACTTCTTATCAACACAAGGGCTAGTCCCTGAGCCCCCTTGATGCCCGAAAGCTGGCTGGGTAAAAAGTGGATAGAGCTGTGGTCTGGGAGGGCGGAGGAGTGGGGGCGGGGAGGGGTACCCTTCATTCTTGATGCGCCTGCGCCCGAGAAAAGGCCCCCCCCACCAGGAAAGGAGGGGAGGGAGAGTGGGCGGGGGTGGGGAGGAAGCGGGGCTCAGATGCAGGTAGCTCCTCTCGCCCGCACGTGTAGTCTTTGGACTTCAGCAGTAATCAAGGCCACGCGTGCCTCAAGCCACGAGAACGAGGCCCGCCCTTTCGGCACGCGGTGCTTGGGCTCGGCGGCGGCAGGTGGGCGAGGCGCCCTTACTCACACTTCAGCCCGCCCCGCCTACCAGGAAGCCATCCATCTCATTGGCCCGCGGCCCTGGACTCCCCGCCCCTGAAAGTCACGTGATAATGATGTGCTAGAGTTCACCCCTCCCCCATCCTCCCAGCCCACTGCGCACAATGGCCGCCCGCTCTCAGACACGCTTTGGAGCCGGGCGGAAGGTACAGGCCAGGGCTAGCGCCCTGTGGGCTCTGCCCTGGAGTCACAGCAGGTTCCCCAGCCCGAGGGCAGCTCGAGGTTCACCGCGTGGGCCTCGGTGAGGAGAAGGGGCATCCTGGGGGCTGTGTGTGCGAGGCCCCCCCACGCCCACTGCCCGGTGCCCCTGACCCCGAAAGCACTTGGGGGGTTAGGAAGGGATGGGGGACCAAGCCAGCCCAGGTGTGGGGGTTTGTGAGGCACGTGGGGAGGACAGGCCCAAGTAGAGTCACCTGGGGGGGTTGGGCCCTGTAGGGACAGCTTTGACATAGATGGGCCTGAAGACACGAGAGAGCCAGGAACGAGGCTTTGGACTTTGGGACGCAGAACAGGCCAGAACCCTAAGTTACTTTCAAAGCTACAAAAGATCTTTCTTCTTCATTTTCAAAGCTGAGGACCAATGGGTAGAGATGGAATTCGAAGTTTGGCTTGTTATCATGCCATTCACCGTCATCATTCAGATGACTTTTCTTGTTTACACTGCTGTCTGGCACCTCCCTTTTTGCTAATCCTTCCAGGTATGTGGATCCACCATAGGGGGACACTCCAGAGTTTTCTTGTTCAAAATTCAGGTTTTAAACTGTCTTACCTTTAGTGATGATTGAGCTAGTCTGGTCTCCAGCCTCCTTTGTGAAGAGAAGTCCTGTTCCCTCATCATAGTCTCCCACCCCTGAGGTGAAGGGAAAGGGTGCCATTCCTTCAAGTTTCCTGTCCTATCTCCTGACTTGGAGGAAGGAGAGTGTCACCACTTCTGCTCCAACATCTTGCTCCCTCACCTCAGTGGCTTCCAAGGCTTTAAAGAACTACCCTGGGGTCATCAAACTCTGGACACTGAAAAATGTCTTGACATTTTTTATTTAATGATTAATCAACTCCCACTGGTCATGTTATTACTATCGGAGTGATGCTGAACTCTCACAGCTATCAGTATTGAAAGCTTGTTCTCTGTCACCCTGCCTGGCTTGTCTTATTCCCATCTGTCTCAACCCAGCACTACCTTCCCAACTCCCAGTGTCCCATTCTTAAGCTAATCATCCTTTCATTTATGCTCTCTGGAGTGTCTGTTCCATAGGAAACAAATTTGATTTCATCTGAGATCCTTCCTTTTCCCACTCCTTCCATTGTCTGGTTCTCCCTGAGCCCTGGATCCCTGCTGATGACACAGCTTCCCTGGCCACCCTTTTAAGCACTGACTACTTTTACTCCCCTTCCCCCCCCCACCTGACTTCTGACTCCTGGTTTAATTGGGGGAGATGGAAAACTCCTTGTTCCCTATTTCCAGGTTCTGTTTCTACTACTGTGATTCAGTAACCTGTCTGGCTTTGGGCTTCGCTTAATCCATATCTGCCAACCAATCAAAATTCAGTAGCTGTTGTTTGCTGATTGACAAGATGTTTCTGTTCATTCCTCAGTAAGTTTGGTACCTGACCCATAATCTTTCTCCTTGCAAACTCCTGCTCTCCTACTAGGAGACTTTCAACATACTCCCTCAAATACCCTAACCCAGTTCTCTTCCCTTTTATAAGTTTTTTTTTTCCTAGTTGTTTGCATGTTGTGTCCTCAGTAAGATAGTGAGCTTCTTGAGAGTAGGGTCTGTCTTTGCCAAGCACTAAGCTTGGCACATGGGAAGTACTTAATAAAAGTTTATTGACTGACTTATTTGATTAAGAAAAAAAACCTACTTAAATCTTAGTAATAAAATCATGGTGACTAAAATTTACTTTCCTGCCATTTTATTTCTTGGTTTTTCCCTATTTTCTAGTAGTAAAACATGATAAAGTTGTACAACTTGTGTATGTTGTGTCTACAACAATATATTTTCTGGATTCATACCTGGTCTTAAGGAAAAATAAAGAAGAAAGAATAAAATATTTCCTACCATGAGGCAAGGATTGTTAAAGCTAAACAAACACATTACAGAAAATCCACAAATTTATGAGCATTTCAGAAGATGAAGTTGTGAGAACAAGACCAATTTGTCAGAAAATGTGTATATGTGGAGATGTAGAAACAGGATAGCTCAGTCAAGTAAAATTGTGTGTATGTGGGTTTAGGTGTATCTTCATATGGGAACTTGTCAGTGTATTTGAAAACTGGCAGTCTCCTGATACTCCTATTTGTCTGTAAAATTTGTCGATAAATTTGTTCCACTCATAGATTGGATGTGGCTTATGGATGGAATGAACTATTTTTCCATCAGCCAAACCCATGAGATAGTTAAATGGCTGTGAATGCAAAGAAATGCTAAAAATGACATTAATATACCGTGAATAAAGATGAAAATACCTCTTAGCATCTGATAAAACTGGCATTTCTTTTTGTACTTTTTTTCTGTTTTCCAGATAGCCATGAGAAACATCTTAAATTCAGGGTGAGGAAAGGGTTTATTTTCTTTCATGCACTTTTTATGTATGATGTTCCATGTATAATATAGTCAAATTATATATAGACATAGAGCTGGGCTAGCCTTATGTAAGGAAAATAATATCTAGAAGGCTGTATGGTAACAGTGTGTGTGTATGTGGGTGGAAGTTTTTAGGTGTATACGTATATGAATTTTTGTGCAGGTAGGTTTGCATATGTGTATATTTGTGTTAATGTGTATATGCACTTGTACGTGTAGTATGTGTGAATATATATGACAGTTTCTCTGAGTAATCCACCAAAGCCTACTCCATATCTATCCATAATGCAGCTGAACAGGAATACTCAGAGTACAGTTAGGGTTGGGCACCAAATCCCTATTGAAAGGTAATGGGGAAAAGGGGAGAATTCTGTCCTTGGTCATTTTGGCCATTGGGGGTTTGGTGGTGGATGGGTGGTGATAGAATGTCTAAATGTAAATCACAAAGCATTTAGAGGAATAAGAAATATCTCTCTCTGGACCATCATTCACTCCCTCCCACCTGGGGGATAAATGACTGAAAGGGGTTATTTTAGTAAGATGTTAGGGGAAAAAAATGCAGGAAATCTTTCTGTACTATGGGAAATCCAGATGGTATGAGTAGAAATCAACAAAGTAGAATCCCACAAGTTATAGAAGAGATAAAATGAGTTATCCTAATATGTTTTACTCAGACACCTCCAACATTGAGAATTACAAAGAAGTAAACCAAATAGACATTAAAATGCAAATGAAAACAGAAATGAAGACAAGTTTAATGTTAGAAATTCCTTTCCAAAATCTAAAAGATGATGATTAAAATAACAGTGAGGAGAGATCTTAAGTAATCCTATATTAGATGATGATATTGACATCAATTGACAAAGGAGAGTTTGAAAGAAGACTGAGTATGCCTCCAGTATTGCAGGTTCAATATTAACATGGTTTCTGCTTCTGTGATTGCTTGGAGTTTATGATTTTCACTGCTTGTCATTTGATTGTAAGCTTTTTGGGACTGTCATTTTTACTGTTTTTATGCCTGACACTTAACACGATGTCTGGTCCACGGTAGTTATTGAGAAAATGTCCTATGACTGACTCTCTCTGCTGGAATGGTGAACTTTTCCTTTTCTGTGTCAGAGAGCATGGGTCTGTGAACAACTCTGATCTTTGGGAATTCATTTCGTGTAAACAATTACACAAAACAAAAACAAACCCCAACATCTGTGAGGTGGATACTTGTTCTCCAACTTTGAAACAAGTACTGAAGCCTGAACTATTCCACATTTCCTCCAAAATGAAGAAAGCAAACAGCCCTCTACCAACCAGAGTGTTCCTCTGAGTGAAATACAGCATTATATGTGAAACCTGGGAAGGACAGAGCAGTGATGCTTATTTTAGCCCTAAGGTGAGTATCTTAACTTTATGAGCTTCAGGTTGCTAATATATAAAGGGAGAGAGTTGGATTTGAGGTCCTCTGAAGACTTTGTAGCTCTGAATGTTGTGTCTCAGTGTAAAATAACTCACTAGCCCGGAAAGATTTGTGTGTGCCTGACAGTGTGATGGTCAAGGGGAATCAGATGATGAAGGGCTTTGAATGCCAAACTAATGTTTACAAATTTTGTCTTAGTGGTATTAGAAAGTGGATTGACTTGATTTCACAGAGGGCTAGACTAGACTTGATGGGATCTGCACTTGAGTAAGGTGACTTTGACTCAAGATGAGTGGAGGATTAGGGAGAGATTGATGTCAGACCAGTGAGCAGGCTAATGTAGTAGGCCAGGGTGGAGGGGATAAAGGTCTGTATATGGGTTGTTACTATGGTGGAGGAGAAAAAAATGACAAGAGGGATAGCCTAGATTTTGGGTGGTAAAAATCATCAGCCTTTGGTGGCCCCTCTGATATATATGGGGTGCGGGGGAGGGGAGAAAGAAGGACATGTTGAGGATGACCTCTTGGTTGTGAGCTTTGGTCACTGGAAAGTGGTAGTGCCTTCAACAGCAAAAGGGAAGTCAGGATTAAGGTTGGGTTTAGGAGGAGAAGGGTCATGAGTTCAGTTCTAGAAGTACTCTGTTGAAGAAGTCTGTGGCATCAGTGGAAAATTAGTGAAATCAGCACCTATGTAAAATTCCAGAAAGAGTTTTGGAAGAAAAGTAAAAAAAAAAAAATCTTTGCCAAGCTGAGATGCAAAATACTGCAAGAACCAGCCACCCCAGATTCTGTCCCAGTGCTCTCCAGTGGAGAACTTAGGTCCATTTCTGTTACCATAAAGACCAAAGAAAACATTGGCTTTGTGATGTAAATAACACATGGCATTAGTCATTGGGAGTGTTGCTCAAGGAAGAAATCATTGTTAGATGACCCATCAGAGTAGTCCAGCTTCAAGATGGCGATAGTTTTCTTACCATTTCTTTTCATATGCATAAGGCTTTTAATTAGTAATTTATGTTTTTTTGCATTTGTTTTCCATTTCTTACACTGAAAGCAGTTGTGCACTTGGAAAGAAAGGGTCTTTTTTTTTTAAATTTAATCAGAGTCAAATGTACAGTCTGTCTTCCAAGTAACAGAAATGGACCCAGTTCTCCACTAGAGAACATTGGGACAGGATCTGTGGTGGTTGGTTCTTGAAGTATTTTGCATCTCAGCTTGGGAAAGAGCTTTTTTTAAACTTTTTTTTTTGCAGAACTCTTTCTAAAATTTCATATAGGTGCTGATTTGACTAATTTTCCACTGATGCCACAGACTTCTTCAACTCAGTGTTTTCTAGAACTGAACTCATGATCCTTCCCCTCCTAAACCCAACCCAATCCTCAGATGGTTTCTGAGGAACTGAGGCTTTACATTAGATCAGTGTTTCATAGGAACACATCAGATTATTGGTGTCAGCAAAGGTGGACCTGTGAGGGGAAAGCATGATAGTTGATTAAACCCTCCTGCATGCCCCAAAGGACATCTTTGGGTATACACAAGAAGAATGCTCAGGAAGAAGAACAACAGGGAGGAAAAAGAATTAGACACCCTAATTAGCTCTCTGGTTCTCTTTCACTTTGGGGGATAAATAACCTAAAGGGGTCATTTCAGTAAGATCTTAGGAAAACAAAAGAAAGTGCAGGCAATCATCCAGGCTTTCTTTCTATGCCAAGGGAAATCTAGATGGTATAAGAAGAAATCAACAAGATAAAATCCCGCAATTACAGAAGAAATAAAATGAATTAACCTAACATTTGCAAATGAAAACAGAAATTAGAGAAGTTTAATGTTAGAAATTCCTTTCCAAAATCTAAAAAATGATGATTAAGATAACAATAAGGAGAGATCTTAAGTAATCCAGTATTAGATGATGTATGACTCAGGTATTACAAGTTCAATATAAACATATCTTCTGCCTCTGTGGTTGCTTTGAGTTTATGGTTTTTCATGCTGCTTGTTCGATTGGAAGCTCTTTAGAACAGTCATTTTTCCTATTTCTGTGCCTAGCACTTGGCACAAAGTCTGGCCCATAGTAGTTCCAGCACTACCAGCCTTTTACCCCCCACTTCTTTCCTCTGTATCATTAGACTGCAGAGGGAAGTTAAATATATTACTTAGCTTCAGAAATTTAAAATATTTATTTTAGTAATATAGACTGACTCTCCTACAATGAACTGGAATCCTTTGTGTGGGCCCTCCAAGAAGTAATAGAAACATGTTGGCATGTTAGAAATAACATTATGGCATATCCAAAATTTTAATCATTGGATTTATATTGCAGTGTTTTTCTTTCTATTCCAGAGAAAACATGGAAGAGGCTGGGATCTACCATATTAAAGACCCTCATTGTTTGCTTAAAATTATATTCATATTTGTAGATTCCATAACAAATACAGTCATTGGAGCAGTGTTGTGATTCGGTAGTATTTTAGTGAAATTCTTACAGATGTCAGTGAAATCTTGAGAAAGTTTTGACATTGACAGAATTTGAGGAAATCCTACTACAAATAAATAATATTTAATTCCAGTGAGTGTCCAATTTATGGCTATTTAACAAGACCCCTTCATTCACTGGGGCATCTAAAGTGTTCCTTCATCTCAAAGCAGTGGAGGTAATTCTAGCTGTTAAAGTGAGACCTGTTGCACAATGCTTTATCAAAACTGGTGGGCAAAACTACTAACGTCAGATGTTTTAGTTTTACTTTTCCATTTTCATCATGAATGATGTAAATGGTTACTCTGAATACTTATGTTCTGCTACAGTATGGATTAAATAGTTGTTAGTAGATTTGCCACAGAAAAAAATGTTTCTACAAGGAAAATGGAAAATTGTTCAGTCATTTTTTACTCATGTCCAACACTTCCTGACTCCATTTTGTGTTTTCTTGGCAAAGATACAGGAGAGGTTTGCTATTTCCTTCTTCAGCTCGTTTCACAGATGAGGAAACTGAAGCAAACAGGGTTAAGTGACTTTGCCCAGGGTCACACATTTGAACTCAGGTCTTCCTGACTCCAGCACTCCACTCCTACTACACCACCTAGCTGACCTAAATGGGAGATGCCTGAGAACAAAGTCTGTGTCCTTATTCATCTTCAGTTCTTTAGCATACCTGATTAAGTAGATGATATCCATATTGGCTGTGGTGGGTTACCTAGTGCTGACAATGAAAGTTTTATGTTTTAACCTTTTAATACTGTGTAAATTACCTGTAATTGACTTTCTATTCTTGATAATTGATAAGCAATCTTTTCTGTTGTTGTTGTTTTCTTTTGGTAGAAAAGAAAAAGGAGCACTGCATCTGTGAAAGTGATTTGAGGTGTGGAACAACTCCACTTATTCATATAATCAACCGCACTTTAGAAATCCATTGCCTCAGGAAATTGCCTGTCATTTCTAAGTATTCCAAATGATCTGACCCTGCACATTTGAACTCTTTAACATTGTAGATGAACCTGAGGTGCATGGCACAGTCCATGGGAAGGATGAAATAAAAAAGGCAAAATAGGAAATAAATGAGGGCAGTGTTGCTTAGAAAGATGCAGGTGATCACCAGGCATGGTAAATGCTACTTTAGCTTATATCTTCATGATATATAACTTGGAATAGTCATTTTAATAAGTGTACAAGTATGTCATGCAAAAAATTCATCTGAAAGAAAATATCACCTGAAAATAAATCATTCTGAAGAAAAAACTCAAAAAGGCAATATGCAATTAGCAATTAAAATTAAATGGACACAGGAGCAGCTAGGTGGCACAGTGGATGGAACACCAGCCCTGGAGTCAGGAGGACCTGAGTACAAATCCAACTTCAGACAGTTGACACTTACTAGCTGTGTGACCCTGGGCAAGTCACTAAACCCCCTTGCCTAGCCACACACACACACAAATACAAATAAATGGACACTGCTTCTGAGACAGCAATAGCACAAAATTTCCATGGCAAACTGTTTTAAATGGTCTGACTCAATGGCATCTATTTACATACTGATCAATTACAGTGTTTTAATAATTGTCGGTCACTCCATAGAATCTCATTTTTCTAGGTGGAGTTATTTCCAAAGTCTTCTGAATTCAAAGAAAATGTATGAAGCCATGTAGATGATTGAACAAATTAATTCTTACCATGGAAGGATTAGGAGATGGTTGGAGCTGAGTTCCTGAACTGTTTCCTGAACTAGCACCTGACTCAAAAATAAACTGAACAGAGATAACATATCTCTAACTATTCTTATGCAATACCACCAACTACATGCTTAGGGAAGGCTATTGTAAGAAATTCCAGTATATCAACAAAGATTTCATATTTAAATCCAAGTTATAGAGACTCACAGGTAGCCAACCCCAATACTAGTGGAATCTCATTGTACTACCTATATGTCCATATTTAATAACCACATCTAAGTTACTTTAAGGGGAAAAAGAACTGTTTGGTCTTGTGTTTACAAAATTGAGAAAAAATTTCCTGTGTAAACTATACTGGGAAAGAAGAGCTTCGGTTTTCTATTTCTACATGGGTGAAGGAATTTATTTTAGAGCAATTTACTTGGCCTCAAGGAAACATTGCTGGGTTGCCCCTCCTCTTGTCTTCTTAGTTTCTTCCTTCCTTCTCTCAGGCTTGCGATTTGAGCACAAGAGACTCCTAAAAATGATATAAAAGTATCCTGCCCAAATCAGTCACTCAAAAAATGTGTATGAACTGTTTGCATTTGAAGTGATTCCTCTCTATCGTGAAAGATTTTTGATGGGAGGTATTGATGACATTTATCCATGATATCTGTGACAGGAATGGTCTGACAGAATAGAATATTGATTCTGGTCCAACAGATCTCACACAATGGAAGGGCTCGGGCAGCACAGAAATATTGAAGCAGTTCTGCCCATCAGAAAAATAAATGAAGTTATCATGTGAGTGAGAAGGAAGGTTGCATTGATCTTAAAAAACCTCTCACAGATAGGAAAATATCTCCTACCAATGCAATTTCATTGTCTTTCCACAAATTAATAAAGACAGATGCCAAGCACTCATTCAGGTAGCAAGCAGACATAGTAAAGAGAGGAATCACCAATGCATTTTCTGAATCTCAGAGGATTCTTATCTACTCCCTGGCTGATTTTTGAGTGAATCTCTTAACATTCCTGGGCTTAGAGTTACTCCTGATATAATGGGGCTGGCTGTCAGACTGGATGGCCACATTCTTTCTGACCTCCTTCCTCCACTAGCATATTATTCTCATGTCTGAAAATTCAGTTTTTACCACTTAACCTTGTAAGACCTCAGAACAGAAATAACCCTTTTCATTGGTTCCCATGCTTTGGTTTATGGTAACTAGTCCTCCGATGGCTCTCCCTACCATACTTTTTGGGATTTCTAAGAATCCCAATTAGATTTATCGGTATCCACACATTAATATTGAATGTTTCAAAGATAAAGAATGACTACAGAGAAGTTAAGAACATGATATAGCTTCAGAAATTTAAAACGATTTTTGGAGGGATATATTCTGACTCAACTGCAATCAACTGGATTCCTTTGAGAGGGCTATTTTTCATGTAATAGAGGATAATTATGAGAAATTCCCAAATAACATTATGGCATATTCATAATTTTAAATATTGGATTTGTTTTTGAATGTTTTACCTTTTCTATTCCAGTGATGCCAATGATGGCAGTTACTCATAATATGAGAAGGACTGAGCTCTACCTGTTTAATGACCAAAGTGAGTTGATTAAAATTATATTCATATTTGGAGATTTCATAGCATATACAGCCCTTGGAATAATACTGAGATTTAACCATGTCAGTAAAATTCTTACAAATATACAGCAAAATCTTGAGAAAGTTTTGAAGATGAGAGAATTTGAGGAAACCACTCATCAATGAATAATATCTAATCGCAGTGAGTAACCAATGTATGAATATTTTAATGGAACCCTCAGTCCACTAGAAGATCCATGATCTCAAAACGGCTGCTGAAGTAAGGCTTACTGCTGTGTAGTCATTTATCCCAACCAGTGGCCAGATCTACCAGCATTGGAGTTGCTATTTTGTACCTTCTGTTTCCATGGCAAATGATATCCAAAAGAAGTACTCTGAATATTTATGTTCTTCTACTGTATGGACTAGGTAGAACTTAATAGATCACCTAGAAAAACTATTAGTTATAACATTCTCCAAGGAAATTGGAAGCTGCTTGAGAACAAAGGCTGTGTCCTTACTCATCTTTATTTCTCATGCCTTCTTAAGTAGTTTCTTTAATCCATACTGTCTCTGGGCTTCCAAGTGATGACAACAAAAGTTTTAGATTTCAAGTCCTTTATACTTCAGAAATTAGCTCTAATTGACTTTCTCCTTCAAGATAATTGATAAGCAATCTTTTTCCATTTGTGTTGTTTCTCTTTTGGTACAAAGGGAGCACTGAATCAGAATAAGGAGTTCCCAGTGTGGGACACTCCTCCTCTAATTCATCCAATCAACAACCCTTTAGAAACCTATTGCCTTAGGGAATTCCCTGACTTTAAAAGTGCTCTTGAGTGATTTGGCAGTTCACAGTTGCACTCTTTATCATTGTAGATGAAAATGAGGTTTGTGGCACAGTTCAAAAAGATGGCCAGTCCAATGCAGGAACCAACGAAAAAACCATTGTTCATGAAGGAGCTGGAGGTCATAAATGGTGAGCTTCTACTTTAGCCCATATCTGCATTACATATAACTTTGAATTGGTCATTTCAGTAAGCAAATGTCTCATGCCCCCCCCAAAAAAAATAGGTATAAGGAAGATATCCCTTGTAAATAATAAATCATGCTGAAAAAACTCAAAAATAAGGCAATATGCAATTAGCATTTAAAACTAATTTAAAACTGCTGTCAGTCACTCCATGGAATCTTACTGTTCTGGGGAGCATTATGTCCCCATCCTTTCAGTTCAGAGAGAATGTGTGATTTCCATATTGCAGAGTGCATTGAGTGGTCCACTTGGGAATTGCCATAGAAGGCCTACAAGATGGTTGGGGTTAAATTATGCTTCTGAACCAGCACCCAACTCAAGAACAAATTGACCAGGAGTGACATATCCCTACTACAGTGTGTTGCTATGCAAAACCACCAAGCACCCGCTTAGGGAAAGGATATCTTATAAAATTCCAATATATTGATGAAGATCCCACCTGTAAGAATTCATAAGTTGTTCTGTCGTTTCATTTGTGCCAGATTCTTTGTGACCTCATTTGGGTTTTCTTTGCAAAGATACTAGAATAGTTTGCCAAATAGGTTAAGTATTTTGTTCACACAGCTAGTAAGTGTCTGAGACTGGATTTGAACTAGGGTCTTCTCGACTCCAATCCCAGCACTCTATCCACAGGGCCACCTAGCAACCCCTACATAAACGGACAACCGTCACACAAATGTGATCAAATATACTAACTATGTATTCATTCTTAAGAAGCATTTCTGAATTCCTTCAAAGAAAATACACTTCTTTCTAAGTTTGCTATTTCAGTTGCAAAACTTAGATAAAAAAGAAACAAAATTTACCTTTGCAAACTTATGCTTGAAAGAGAGATTCAGTTTTCTATTTCTGCATAGGAGAGAGAATTTATTTTAGACCAATTAACTTGGACTCAAGGAACCATTTCTGGATTGTCCCTCCTCTAGTCCTCTTGAATTTCCTTCCTTGCCAGACACATGCATATGATCTAAACACAAGATAGTCCTTTAAAGAGTAAAAAATTGGGGGCAGCTAGGTGGTGCAGTGGATAGAGCACAGGCCCTGCATTCAGGAGGACCCAAGTTCAAATCAGGCCTCAGACACATAACACTAGCTGTGTGACTCTGGGCAAGTCACTTAACCCCCATTGCCCAACCAAAAAACAAAAACAGAGTAGAAAATTATGCTGCCCAGTCACATCACTCAAAAGATGCATTGTGTCTATTTGAAATTTAAGGTTCTTTCTCACCATAATGACCATTTTAGGAGGGGGGAATAATTTATTGTTATTTGGCCCCATCTGAATAATCATGTTGCAAGGATGGTCCGTGGGATTAGAATAATGGTTCTGAACCAGCAGATTCCACCAAAAGTTAGGTTTAGACAGCATGGAAACAAGTGGAATGAATAATCCCAAGACTCCCTGTCAGAACAAAAAAGAATATGGTTTAGGATGGGAAGTGAGCTTGCATTAATATAAAAACCTTTCAGGTGAGGAAACCCATGTTATCAATGGAATTTTGGGGTCTTAAACCCAAAATGTAGTGACAAATGTCAAGCAGCATTCATACATGGTGGAGGCAGGAATCTACCATCACTTTCTGACTCAGGCAACATTTCTAATCTGTGTTACTTCGGGTACTCAGAAGTGAAAGGGTGCTAGTCCTAGTTTAATGTGGGTGGCTTTGAGTGAATCATATAACTATTAGGGGCTTCACTTTTCTCATGAGTACAATGGGGCTATCAGTATGGATGGCCTTTTTTTTTTTTCTGATTTCCATTCTTGCCTTTCCCCATTCTATGTCCAAAAAAAATTTTTTTCAAAGATTTCACAATTCTGACAGTGTTGAGTCGTGATGGAAGAAATAAGCCTTTTCTGTGGTTCTCATGCTTTGTTTTATGGTAAGTAGTACTTCATCACCTCTCTCTATCTTGTTGTCTTCTCTGGAAATTAATTTTTTCAATAATCACACTAATATTTAATAAATAAGGAATAACTGTAGAGGGAAGTTGAATATGTTACTCAGGTTCAGAAATTGAAAATATTTATTTTACTGATATAGACCAACTCTACCACAATCAAATGGAATTTTTGGTTAGGGCCCTTTATGAGGTGACAGAAGAGGTCCTGTTAGAAATAGCATCATGGCATATTGAAAATTTTTTAAAATTACATTTACATCAATGTTTTCCTTTCTCCTTCAGGGAGAACAATAACAGAAATAACCCCCAAATAAGGGAAAGTGTGGGATCTACCATGTGAATGAGCCTGGTGAGTTGATTAAAAGTTTATCCATATTTGTATCAGAGGGGATGTGGAAAAATTGGGACCTTAATTCTTTGTTGGTGGATCTCTGAGCTGGTCCAACCATTTTGGAGAACGATTTGGAATTATGCCCAAAGAGTTATTAAACTGCCTCTACCCTTTGACCCAGAAATACCACTACTAGGTCTGTTTCCCAAGACGATCTAGGAAAAGAACCGAGATGTTCTAAAATATTTACAGCACCTCTTTTTGTGATTGAAAAGAATTTCAAATGAGTGATGCCCGTCAATTGGGGGATGGCTAAACCAATTATGGTATGTGTATGTGATGGAATATTACTCTGTTATAAGAAATGATGAGCTCAATGATTTTGGAAAAGCATGGAGAGAACTGCAATAAATAAGGAAGAGTAAAATGAACAGAACCAAGAGAGCATTGTATATAGTAACAGCAGCATTGTTATAAGAACAACTTTGAGAAACCAAGTTATTCTGACTATTATAAATACCCAAACTGACCACAAGGATCCTGTGAAGGAAGATGCTGTTTGCATCCAGATAAAGAGCTGACATAGTTGTGTCTAATAGTAGCCATCTCTAGGTTTGGGGGCTGAAGGGAAAAAAAGTTACACTATGATTTTGTTGTATATTTGAAAAGAATAATAAGTTGTACATAATGGATTTGCAATTTCAGGTGCAATCCTATTTTTCTATTCCACCTTTTATGGAAATGCTTGTTTTATTTCCCAAGTTTAAAAGAAAATAAATAAAATTTAAAAATAAAAATATATGATATAGGTTCAGAATTTGCTAATAGTTTTTGGCGTGATTTGGAGTGCTAATAATGTTGGAGACTGATTCTCCCATAATCAAATGGATTTCTTTGGAAAGTCCCTTCCTGAGGTGGAAGAGAATAATTATGAAAATAATCCTTCTTATTTATGATATCATATCCTATTCATAATTTTTAAAATTGAAATTACATTGAATACCTTTGTATTCTAGTGAGACCAAAGATGGGAATATCATAATGATTAAGGAAAACACTGAGAATCTACCATGCTAATGACTCCATTGAGTTTTTAAAATTTTTTTTTCATATTTTTAGACTTGCTAATATATAGTCATTCAAGCAATTTGGAGTTTCAGCTAAAATTCAGTGAAATTCTTAGAAATATTCAAAAAATCTAGAGAAAGTTTTGAAGATAAAAGACTGTCAAAAATTGTTAGAAACTGTGTTGTAAGTGCGATCATAGCTAATTCCAGTGAGTTTCCAACTCATAAACATTTATCAAGAAGTATCCTTTCACTGAAACATCTAAAGCAGGCTTGCACAACCTGAAGCTGGCCAAAGGATTTTGGGCAGCCCACAAATAATGTAGAGAGAAAAAAATCCTGTATATTTTTTGCAACCTGCCCAAAATCCTTTGATGGGCTGCAGGTTGTTCAGGCCTGATCTACTCTTCTCCCATATCAGCAGTGATCATTCTAATGGCTGAAGTGAGACTCGCTGCTGCACTATCCTTTATCCAAACAGTGGCTAAAACTACCTCTGTTGCAGCTCCAGTTTTCCTGTTTTTCCATGTCCATGTAGAATGATTTCTAAAACTACTGTGACTACCTTGGCTTTTTTCCTCCCCTTGACTTTCTATTCATAATAACTGACAAGTAATCAATTTCTGTTGGTATTGCTTTTCTTTTGGAAAAAAGATAGCATTGCATCTGAGGAAGGAACTCCATCATGTGACCCTCTTGCACTAATTCATCCACTCAACAACTCTTTAGAAATCTTTTGCTTTACAGAATAATTTGACATTTCTTAGTGCTCTAGAAATGATTTGGCAGTTCCCATTTGAAATCTTTATCCTTGTATAAACTTGAGCTTTCCTCCACCATCAAAGTTGACCTACCAGATCAGGTAGTAACAAGTCAGCAAGAATATGCAGATGATTATCATGTATAATGAGCTTGTACTTTATCCTCTTTCTTCATTACAATTAGCTAAGAATATAGTAAAATTGAGAAGAATTGAGTGGATGATGCTGCAAAGGGGACAGTAGTATAGAACATCCCTGCTATTCCATTTAAAGGTTGTCTGAAACATCCCTGCTATTCCATTTTTTTAAAGGTCTGAAACAAGGGCATCTCTCTCTATATTAATCAGTTACAACATTTTGACTATTGTCATTGATTCCCTTCTTTTCTACAAATTAGTGATGGACACTTATTCTCTATTTGACTATGAGTTAGTGATATAATTTTGGGGAGTTTCAGTTTTCTCATTGGTTAAAATAAGGTGGTCAGATCAGATGTTCTTTCTCTCACAATATTTGCAGCTCTGAAACACTATTACTATTCTGTTTCTTAGAAAAAAACTAATTCCATCATATGACAATTATACTTGGTACTAAAAACATACTCATCGTATTTCATGTTTGGGGGAAAATATTCTTGAAAAGAGGTAGACTTAAGTCTACAATCAAATGGATTCCTCTTCCAAGATCCTTATCAGTGTGGAGAGTTTTGTGGTGGTTTTATTAAAATCGCATATTTATACTTTTGATATTCTATAATGAATACTCTGTGTTGAACAGTTTTTAATTCTTGTTCAAGAGCGGTCCCTATGTGTAAAATAGCACAAAGTAGCAAAGAAACCTATAGTGACAGTGGTGGTAAGTTTTTTCACTTTGTTTTTATATTTGGTGATTTCATCATATATGTAATCTTGGAGGAATGTTGTCAGTGTCAATCCTATCAGTGAAATAGATTATTCTTAATAGCAGCATAAACTAGCAAACTTTTCAGAATGCGATACTTTGAGAAATTTCACTTGTAAATAAATAATGCCTAGCTATAGTCTCTGAGTATATTAATATACACACACACACACACACACACACACACACACATATATATATATATATTACATATAATTATATTACATATATTCAACAGTACCAGTCCATTCATTGGAACATAATGACCATCTTTGCTGCATACCAGTAGAACTTTCTGGGGTTTTTTTCCCTCCAGTTCTCTCAACTTCCCAACTTCCCCTCCAGTTCCCACAAGACTTGTTGCTATATAGTCTTTTCCTACACGTTCCTATTCCATCACCAAATCCCCAGTTGCCAAACCTACCCACAGCTGAGATCCCATTTTTACCCTTCCTTTTTCATAGAAACTTGGTTCCCAATGAAACACTGGGTACTCCTGTAAAGTTACAATATGTATTGAGGAGACTTTCATGGATTACTTGCAGAAACTTATTTATAACATTACTCAAGTAGAATATTAGATATTTGAGGGTAAAGGTATACCTCTTTCATCTTTGCCTACTTAGTACCCCTAGGGAGAGAGTTGATATTTTCTACATGTTTACTGAGTTAATGTTCTACAAACAGATGACAATAGAGAGTTTTAGATTTTGGCACCTTTTTACTTTGGGGACTTTCAACTGACTTATTTTACTCACATGAGTGGATGAAAAACTCTTTTGTGGATGGTTAGAGGTTGTGTGTAGTTGATGTGTCTGCATCAGTGTAAGGAATTGGCATTTGGAAACTTCTCCACTGTTTCATCTGTTGGGCAACACATCAGAAGCCTAGGGCCTTAAAGAATTGTCAGACATTTTTATTATCTGTTAAAATGCTTTGTGTGGGGGAGCAGCTAGATGGCATGGTGGATAGAGTACTGGCCCTGGAGTCAGGAGGACATGAGTTCAAATCTGGCCTCAGACACTTGATGCTTACTAGCTGTCTGACCCTGGGCAAGTCACTTAACCCCAGTTGCCTAGCCGAAAAAAAAATGCTTTGTATGTATCCATTTTTGAACTCTTTTTATTTATGGTTTACAGCCCTTGTTACACCTATAGATGAAGAGTACAATCAGCCAACTTGTGTGAAAAGTTATACAAATGAGGAAGCAGCAACTTATCTTCCTGGATGGTGAGCTTCCACTTTTGCCTGTAACTTTATTAGAATTAACTTTGTAAAGAGGACTGAGACACTTTGAATAAGTTCTTTTAGAAAGTGGACAAAGTTCTAATGAAAAAGTAATCTCCAGCAAAATATATCTTTTAAACAATCTTTCCAAGTGACGTTAAACAAGTGACATTCAAAATTTGAATAGCTACTGCTGCAAAGATGGCAGTAAAATACATCATCTGCATATTACTTTTAATAGGCCTACTACACTCTGCATTTATTTATGGACTGACACAATCAGTCACTCTTTCGAACGTGATTATTCAGTGTAGAATTGTTTCCGTAGTTTGTTACATTTATTGAGAATGTATGAAAGCCATGGCAGTGGCTCTAGTAATTGGGTTCTAGTGCCACCTGGTAAGAAAGGCTTATGAGACTATTGATGTTTAATTCTACTCCTGATTCAGCACCCAGTTCAAGAATTAATTGACCAGAGACAATACAACTCTACCTGGGAGGTATTAATATCAAGTAGTACTAATCCTGTGTGCTTCAGGGAAAGAGGCACTTATGAAGTTAAATATATTGAATGATATTCATATGTTTAAGTCTATATGGACTCACAAGTCACCATATTCAACAAAAATACTCAAATTTTATTTACTATAATATGTCCTTTTTCAAGAAATATTTCTGTGTTTTTTCAAAGAATGTAAACCTCTATCTGACTTAGCTTTCTTTCAGTTGCAAAACTAAGAAAAGAAAAAAAATTGTACATTAAGGATAGCTTCATTGTCCTATTCCTGTGTTTGAGATGGAATTGATCATGGTTCAGTTAACTTGCCCTCAAGGAATCATTTCTCAGTTGTCCCTCTTCTAGGCCTTTTACTTCTTTTCCTGCCCCATTTAGGTTGATGACTCCATGAATCTACCATTGATTCCATGCTTATAAGACACTGATTTCAGCACAAGGCACACTTTAAATGGTGAGAATCATTTTACACTGTTCTTCCCTCAACATGTGCTTAGAATCTATTTGAAGTTTAAGGTTGTTTCTGTCCATAATGACAGTTTTTAATGGGAGAAATTAATGTCATTGAGCCTTGTTTTACTATGTTCCAGCATTATGATGTTCCTTGGATGGTTGATAGGATTAATTTTTTATTAAGAGAAAAATTTTTGAAAGTTATGTTTAAATAAAAAAATGTTTTGTGAACATGTTTTATGTAAAGATCTTTTGTGTGATTTAGAAGGCCTGTTCAGTTTTGTTTGTAAGCCAGTTTATTGCAGTAATTTGATGGTATTGATAACAATTATGTGCAGACCTACTGTGATTAGTGAGACTATTGTTTGAGGAGAAAGCTTTTCTGGGACCCTGAATATTCTTTTTGGAGTTTCATTCTCAGGTTTGTTGTGTCCTTGGAATGACTTAAAAGGCAGCAGCTCAGTGGGAGTGGCATCTGTGATCCAAGACTAGTGAATATCTCTCCCTGGTAATAACGTAGAGAGGTTACCTTGGGAAAACTAAAATTGGACTCTTGTTAATTCATTTTCCCATACAAGAAATCTGTCCACCTGGTTCCATATGCTAGGCTACTGATAATGTATAGGCCTTGAGGACCAGTTTTGATGCTCTTATAAATATGTCCCTGTTTCTGACTGTCAGAGCAAATTTCTATTATCAAGAGTAGACAAACAGTGGAAGCTTGTTATTATAATAGTGAATCTATTCATTATTAGATTAATCCTAAGCCTTCTGAATTACTGTAATAAGCTTCATGTGGGGAAGAACTTGATTGTTATATGAATTTGTAGCCATTCAGTGGCTTAAGCAGGACTTCAATTAGTGCCTGAATTTGTCATATGTATAAGATTCAGTTCCTGAAGTATTTCATTCTTTTGGAATGATATGGATAAAATTAAACTAAGGTAAAGAAGATTGTGAAACAAAGCTGTGAATCTATTAAGTTGTGAGGTTAAAGTCAAGAATCTCTTTTGTTCATGTTTTAAGGAATAGGATTTAAGTATACTCAGTTATATGAGTAGAGAGTAGTAACTTGGGAGCTATTTTGTGTCACCTTAACAGGAAATCTGATTTTACTTATGTTTGTTATTTAATCTGGGATTAGAACATTGTCTTATTAGAAATGCATGCAAATTACTTGAGACATCTTAAAGATTTTCCCATTGTTAATAGGGATTCTGAGAGCAGTAGTCTATGTCTATTTGAACATGGTTAAGAACTGGACATGCTATACAAAAGACAATATTTCTTATGAGCTGTTCTTTGCATATGATTTGGGATAATTATATTTACACATTCCATCCCAAGTCATTTGTTGTTTGTTATTAAGCATCATAAAGCAAAATCATTTGTGTAATGTTGATCTAAGGGGCGACAGAGCATCTACTTACCATGAGTACTAGTTCTGTCAAGATAAGTTGTGATTTTTCATGATTAATCTCTTACTGTTAACAATATGAGATAATAGCCAATCCTTTTTACATAGGATATGTGACTCTTGAGAACTGAATCCACCTAAGGCTGTGATTATTGAAACTTGCTGTTTAAGAACTTAGGGGACTGTTAACTGATATTATTCTGAGTCTGACTCTAGGTATGATCATCAAGGATTGCTGTCAAGTCAGTGATCCATGATGCCATCAACACTGTGGGTTGACAGGTAGAGTTTTAATGGCAAAGGTTGGGAGAATGACTCTTGTCATGGCCTGAGGTAGGATCTTCTTGACTCTGTTTCCCCAGTATGATATTTCCTCTTGATTGTAAATATTCCACCTGGCTAACTTTAAGCCTGGTTCACTGCAGTTATTTGCTATCTAGATAACGTTTGCCTGGAATTGACGTGAAGTTAGGGAAGGATTATTCCCTATGTCCCTGATACTTCTTTTGTGGCAAATGTCTATAATCATGTTAGGTGCTCAGTATAAATGCAGCTAAATAGATCTGAACTACATCTGAGTTACAGTAGTAGAGATGCAGGTACAAGATTTAAGCTATTTGGCCTAGAATTTTAGTCTTTCCTATATTCCAAATGGCTAACTAGTTGAGTAATTGGCTTTGACACCTGTAACTAGTTCTGTATTCCTGTGTAAACTAAGGTCCTTTAATTTCTCACAATGATATGTGGATAATTAGGTAAATGATGCAAAGACTTGTGAAACCAGGATATAATTCTGTTATTTAGTAAGGTTAATGTCATAACTATCTCAGTTCTGTGTTAATGAAAAGAATAGTAGCACAGTTAGTTGTCTCAAGAGAGACTTGTGGTCTATCTTTTAAATACCTTAAAGAGACATCCACTTTTGTTAGGGGTTATTTATTTGAACATGGCTAGAAGTTGAAAATGTTTTATTATAAATAACTTCCTTGATATGCACTGTTTTGAAATTCAATATATTTATATATGCCATCCTAGAACCTTCTATTACACTCGAAGTAAATCTGGCAACTTTTACATGAATTTATTTTTGCATTAGAGTTCATCTTCCTATAAAAAATGTTCTGTAGTTAATTCCTTAATGTAATCTTATCCTCCTAATGGAGGAAATGAATAATGCCAAGGATAAATATTGGGTTCTAATTGTCTGTTTTCATCTGAGTTTTTTAGGTATCTCTACCTGACAATTGGTTAAACTAAAAATGTAAAATTTCTGGTCTAAAAGGTTCCAAATTTGGTTTCCTAGTAATAAAGACTTAAGACATGAGCTGCATTTCATTATTTGACCTGGTTATTTAGGCAAAGTAAAACTGTGTTACGACTAATTTTGTAAGAGATTTTTAGCAGAGAAGAATATCTCTATAATATAGCGGAGAAGAACTGCTCTAAGACCACACCCAAACCACCAGACAACATCAGATGTTTCCAGAGGAAGAGAAGGCTGTAGGGGGTGAGACAATTTTTAGAGACACAATTCTTTTACTGTTTCCTTTTTCCCTTTGCACCTTTTATCTGTAAGGTCTACTTATGAAAGGGGATTGCCCCCTTTGATTTTGACAAAGTGTCCATTGATTTTTCCTTTTTCCCCTCAGAAGCCCCATAGATAGAAACCTTTTATGAAGTATTTATTGTATCAGTGATTTATTGAGAAGACTATGTTTCTCAATAGCAAGTCATTTCAACTCTTGTTTGCCTCAAGTTTCTTCATCACTAAAATGGGGATAATAATAGCACCTACTTTGCAGGGTTAATGTGAGGATCAAATCAGATAATGATTTTAAGATGCTTAGCACAGTGCCTGGCCCCTAGTAATTGCTATAGAAATATTAAGTTATCATCATCATCATCATCATCATCATTATTGGTATTATTATTATACAATTGTAACTGGAAAAAGAAGTATGCCTGTCGTCTCAACTGGGCCAATAATTGGGCATCTGTATAGAGGAGACAAGAGAAGGCAGGTGTGAGGAAAGGCAGATTAAGAGACAAATTAAGTCAGAAAGGGTGGAAGCCAGGAGCATGGGGATCCAGCACCAGGATTCAGATTTAGCTTGGTCCGTGTGACTGAGGCTCATGGATTTTGTATTTAGAGGACATAGGATAACATCCCAACTTTTTTACCAATGGATAAAAAAAAAATCACTTAACTCCAACCTTTAAGTTCCCCGCTTATAAAATAGTACCGGAGCCATTTTTGAAGAGAAAATAAGATAGTTCATATGTAGTGTTTTGTGAACATTAAAATGCTGAATAAAGATAAGCTTTTATTGTTATCATTGATGTCATTATTGAGGCAAATTGATTATCAAGAGCCAAACCAACCAGAAAGATCTGGCTAAGGAGATCTGCTTTAGGCAGACTAAAAGGCAGCATGGTGCCGTGAATAAGAAAGACTTGGCTTCAGGGCTTGTCTCTGACACCTCTGCTATCTATGCAACCCTGAGCAAGTCAGGTAATTTCTCAGGGCTGTAGGAAATTCTCTAAGATGCTAAGTTGCAGAGTAGGTGGCAACCTGCATTGGCAGAGGGAGTTCCTATACCAGTGAAACCAGAGGACTAATGAATGTCCTTATGTAAGCTGGATATGAGACACTTAGAGGAACTATAGGGGCTGACACTCAAGGTATACGTGGGATGAGCTGGAAATGTCAGTACGGGACAGCTTTGGAATTGTTGTCTGGTGGATGTGTTAGTAGAGAGAAGGGCTGGCATTCATGAGAGACTGTTATAGAAATATGGTCCAAAGGACTTTGTGATTAATTTGATATGTCAGGGGTGGGGTGATGGGGAAGTGAGGAATGCTGGATGACTCTAAGGTTGTAATCTCCTTTGAAAAGACCAAAACAGATGATTTAATACTATCAGAGGGCAGGGGGAAATGAATGAGGAGAGGAGGAAACTATTGTGGTCTCCCACCTTCAGGGGATCTGGGATTTATGGGATCCCACAAAACTAGGAGAAAGGGACAGCCAAGTAAACAGCTGCTTTGAAAGTCCACATCTGGCATCAAAGTCAAGTCAATAGTGGTGGGGACTTTGGGGGTGTAGGAAGAGGATAGAGGAGCAATGGCCATTCCCCTCCCCCAGTCTCTGAACCCACATGATGACATTCTAGTCTCAGAGGAATTACAGTGTTTGAGAATTGCCTCTGTTCACTCCAGAGCATATTCTAGGGTGAGCAATAATAACAGTAAGCAGATATGACTATTTTGCTTGGGATTTTCTTAAAGCAGCCTTCTTCCCTTTTCCTCCTTCACAGCTAGAGTAAATGACTTTGAATGCACCAGGAAGAAACTGTGCTGACCATGTGTGACCTTGGGCAAATCACCCTCTGGGCCTCAGTTTCTTTATCTAAAATATGGAGGTGTTAGACAAGACCAGAGGAGTTAAAGACCTGGCTACCTGAGGCCCACAATACTCCCAAGTGCAGTGCAAACCAGATGAAAATGGAATTGGAAGAGTAAACAAATAAAATACAATAAATCAGAGATGATGTTTATATGTGCCCATAGGGATCCTTATGTACAATTTAGTAATCCCCTGCACCACTCCCTTTCCCCCATTTCTGTTCCAGTTTGACTCCACTGGGCTAAAGGACCTTGGAGGTTTACTCTACCTTTAGATCTGTGGCCCTATGCAGAAGGAAAGGGTGTTCCCAACTGAGTGTCTGTGCTTCTGTGAGTCCTGGAAAAACCCATTTGCCATTCTTCTCAGCTACCTACCCCAACCCCCTTTCAACTTACATTGGGCAGAGTTAGCAAATATTTGGTTATCCCCTCCTATGGTGAAGTCAAACAGTGCTAGGCTTGTGCTCCAGCCAGGTCTATACATACCTGCCTCCCTTATCCTTCTCAGCCATTTCACCCTATTGCTAACCATTGTCAGGAAAGCAATTTCCTAAGCACCCTGAGCTTGGCTGCAGCTTTAGTCCCCATCAAATAAACTCCAGGGCAGGAGCAGCCAAGATGATTTTTTAGGGCGTCCTCAGCCCCAGACACAGAAACCTCAATGTAATAGTGGAGAGAGACCCCAGGAAGGAAGGAGTCGACTTGCAACTTTCCATTCCCCCTTTGTCTCCCCTCTCACTGTCTTCCTTCCTCTTTATCTTTCATTTTTCCCTTAGCCATCTCTTCACAAAAGCAGTGTTCATTGAACAACTCCATGGCTAGGATGCCTGCTGTATGACAATAAATTTGAGACCTTGAAATGGGGCAGACAGCCAACTCTTCCAGACACATCAAATGTGACCACCTAGAAATGTTTGAATTTTAATTCATGTTGAAAGTGATCCAGTGCACACATGAACTTGGTCTAAACATAGCAAGATAGGCTAATTGAGAGTATCACAAGATCATAGACTTAGATCAGGAAGGGACTGTCATTGAACCTCAATTACAGATGAGCAAAGTGAGGCATAGAGGACTTTCTTGGGGTGCCACAGGGCATTGGCACAGCCAGGGTTTGAAATCCCATGTCCTCTGAGTCCTAAGTCAGAATTCAATTGCTAAGTCCTCACATTCTATGATCAGTGTGCTTTGTGCTTACCTCTTCTGTGGTATCATCCAATGAAGTCCACTTTGATCACAGAAAAGATGAATGGATTAACTATAACATGACAATGAACATTGGCAAAATCTTCTAGAGCATAAGAAGTTCAATCAGAATGTTCCTTACCTCACAATTCCTATGAATATATCAGAAAGAATGTCTTCCTAAAGAAAACAAACTTCTAGGAGTTTTCAAGGGAGAAAAATAAATTTCAAGAATCTAGTATTGACTCTGTATTGTGGAGATGATCATTGCCCAGTCAGCAAGAAAAACAGCTGACACAGAGCTCTGACCCAATGTCACTTTATTAAAGTGTCTATGGTTCCCTCTAATGAAGTAGACCTCAGATCTTCCTCATGATCTGAGATACCCCCTTCTAGGGCCTTATTTTTATAAGTCTTGAAACATTTTGAAATCAGTATCAAACCAGGTTTGAAAATTGAGTTCTGTAAAGATGCTATACAAAATACAGAATCCCATTAGTTGATAGACTTTGCTTTAGCTAGAAATGATATGGTAGCAGTGGGGAGAGTCTTGCAGGTTGGGTGAAACATGGGGCATCTCTACTGACTAAGTGGTCATTGATCATGAAATGATTACCTGCTCACATTGGACAAGAGAGAGTGTTCCAGAGGTACAGAAATAAATTGGGGGACTTTCCATGTCATTGAATCACCTCTGCCATGCTGGGCTTGGTCACCATACAAGGAAAACTGATGGTGGAAAGCCTCTAGTTAGCTTCTTATGATTGAACAAGTGAACTTACAATCTGCAATTCACAGCTCTGGATCCTAATATCTATATAACTTATAACCACTACCCCTGTGGAATCATATCAATCTGATTAATACTGGTTGGAATAGAGTAAGTGTCCAAGAGAATTGTTTCTCACATTCCCCTCACACACTCTGATCCACAGAAAGACCCCAGTCTTTGTTTGGATTGTTACCATCTAAATGCACAGAGGGCATTCCACTATGGGCAATGCATTGACAGAGCCATTGGGGGAAATCCCCTTTGCCAAGTAAGCCTTGTAGAAGATAATGGTGCAATTTATTTCTTAATCCCATTTCCCCTGTCCCTTTCATGGGTCCATCACATAATAAGGTTCAGAGTCCCATCTCATACAGTTGTCCAGTCTATGAAACTTCCCCTGTGGTCTTCTGAAGATCTTTTCTCTTAGGCATATGAGAATGAGTGGTACTTCAGCTACTAGGGCATTTGCTTTGCCAGTTTAGGTCACTTGCAGAGATCCCCTTCTCTGTTAAAAAATCTCTGACAAAATAGATCATAATAGAGTTGTAGTTTACTATAACAATAACTAGGTCAGGTAGTGAGAGGTAGCCCAGGCCTTAATACCACTAATAGGAACATCACTAGACCAGAGAATTTACATTTTTAACTTGGCAAATTCAAATAACTGACAAATTTAAAAATTTGAACCCAAACTTTATATTTGGTGTGTATAATTACATAATTGTAGTATAACTATATATTAAAACCAAGTAAAAAAAATCTTACTCTAGCTATTTTCTTTTAGCTGCTCATTTCACCCACCCTGCTTTAGGATGAGATTCTGCTAGGGAACTATTAACAGAACACTTTCTTAAAATAAGATGATGACTCCTAATACACAACTGAATTCATTTAAAAATTGCCAAAATAATTGCAATTATAACAAAGTTCTGGGATGGGATGAATAAATACATTGAGCAGTCAATTTCTTTTTTTGTTTGTTTTTTAGGCAGTTGGAGTTAAGTGATTTGCCCAGGGTCACACAGCTAGTAAGTGTCAAGTGCTTGGTCTGAGGCTGGATTTGAATTCAGGTCCTCCTGACTTCAGGGATGATGCTCTATCCACAGCACCACCTAGACTGCCCTGAGCAGTCAATTTCAAAACAGTGTAAATCAAATAAATTATTCCTAATAAAACATGTTAGCTTTTCAAGACATGCTCAATATCCAGATAGTAATAATAAATCCAATAAAAATGGCTTTTCCCATTTAGGTAACACAAGATATTCTAACTTAAACCAAAACTGATGGTGATTCTGTTTTAGGATTAATAATTAATAGAACTGTTTAGTCCCATAAACTCTTCCATCAATACCTAATTATTCTCACATTAATTTTAGGAAGGACTAAAATTTTAGGCTAAGTAGCTCAAATCTTACATCAAACCTATGTCTTATGATAATAGCTCAAATGTGTTCTAGTATTAACCTATGAAATAAGAAATTAATATTGTATTTTTATTGATAACCCGCAGTGATTATAGAAATTTGCCAAAGAAAGCAAATAGAGACATTATATAGTAGGAGGAAAATGCATCCCTAGCTCCTTGTCAATTCCAGACTAGAGTCATAAATAGCCAATTTTATTGAACCAGGTCAAAATATGGGATATTTTTGATTCAAGAGGAAATGTCATGCTGAGGAAATTGCATCATAAAATCCTTTCTATGCCCATGCCAAGAGTCATTCTCCCAGCCTTCCCCATGAGAATTCCACCTGTAATTCATGGATGTCAAACCCCATGGGGTTACTGGCATCATGGATCATTGACCTAATAGGATTCCTTGAGGATCATACCTGGAATCGGGTTTAGAATAATAGCAATTATAGTTCCATGAGATCTAACAGCAAGTTCCAATAATCATAGCTTCTTAGCTTTCGTCAGGTTCTGTTATTAAGGATCACATATCCTTGATGAAGATGGAAAAACTTCAAGGTCTATATTTTTATATTCCTAAAACATTCTAAAATATATTTCTAAAAAAAATTCTTCTTCCTCCTAGATCTGTGTGGTGGGGGCCAAGAGTTAACACAAACTCAATATAAAATAGAGCTAGAAGAAAAATCATTATATTAAGAAGAAACAATTCACCTTAAATTTCAGAAAATTTCAATTGTTGCATCACAATGGCTTGAATTGGAAAATGAATCTTTGTCTCTCTTACTGTTATTAAATAGATGTTTCAAATTGTTTTTGACATTAAGAATTTCTTCTTAATCCAATTTGGGAAAATTTGTCACATTTCTCATAAAGTGACAGCTCTCACTAATCATATTAACATAAGGAAAAAATTTATAGGGTTATCTCTTATAAATTAAATAACCCATCAGTTGTAAGGCTTCATGATCTTTTATTATTTGTGATTCAAATGACAATTCAAAATAATCCCTCACTATACTAACATATATTAATCAAAAATCTCTAGTAGGGTTCCTCTTCTTTTACACTTATCAATGGAATTTGCCCTTGAGGAGAAAGGCAGGGACATAGCAGCACTAGTTCTGTTTGATTTCAGGTATGAATCCTAGGAAGCTAATCGTATCACAGGATGTCTTAGCCCGGCTCAGAATTAGCCAGGTAGGAAAATGTCTCATTTACCAAGATGGAGATAGGTCAAGAGAATCCTACTGTCCCTTTCACAAGGTCATTCTCTCAACTTTCCCAGGGACAGACATTCACCTGTGGCAGGCCTTCAATGGCAGGGGCATATGGCATTTCCATGGAATGATGAACCAGTAGACTTATGAGGAGTCAGACACTTCTATCTAGATTCAAGACTTCGAAGAGCATCAGTCTGAAGCCCCAAGAGACTCTTCCTCAAACAGCAAAATTTCACTCATGATAGCTTAGGGCTAGAATATTGTTATTTTTCTCATATGTTAGCCTCAAAATATCATCTCAGATTTTTCAACTATTTACAAATTTCTTCTATTCACAACCATCATTCTTCCCCCCTTCCCAATCTGTAGATAAAGTCAAAGGGACAACATCAAATATTGCTAGCATACAAGGAGATGAGACCCCCATTAGAGTACATGTAGACAAGTGGGTTCTACCTGGGCACAACTTACTTAGTGAAAGTTATG